GCTAAGAAAATTAAATTAACTTATATTGGAGCATTTCGGTGTTTTCGCAAAACACTCGAGCTAGAAATTCTTCAAATTTTCCTCTTAAGTTTATTTACTTTATAGAGGAATCTTAGCAACTGACTATGTCATCAAAAACTCTACTTTCTCTATTCTTCTATATATTTGCGCTTTAACAAATATATACATTATAGGCAAATAACTAAAATAACTTGAATATCTGTCCTAACTTTTTAAGACTTAAATGCATAAAAATTCCATTACATTCCCTTTAGAACAACACTCATTTTCCTTTACCTATCATATTTTAATTGCCACTAAGTATCATCTTCACTGTATAGCAACACTTAAAGATTTCCCGCAACCTCAACTTTAAGTCACTTCCCTTTCCCTGCAATGCAAACAGGGTAACTGAAAGCTAAAACACAGCTGTCGCCCGCAGTTGTAATGCGAAACTTATTAACATACTTCAGGGCAGCATGCATTAGAAGTGCATATATGTATGTATGTTTGTATGTACATGGGTGTGTGTTTAATTGCAGGTGCACCCTGGTGGGCGTGGCCTTGCCACAGCTTGACAATAAAATGCAGGATACATTGGGCCTGCAAATTATGAAAGCAAAAAAAAAAAAAAAAAAAAAAAAAGAAACGCCCGCAACGCGAGCGCAACGGTTATTGAAACCCGTTGCATTGCACATACGCACACACACCTGCTGTCACGCACACACACACATGTGTAGCTATGCAGCTGGCTTGCGCATATATGCCTATACATATGCAAACGTGGCGTATACGCAATGCTGTGTAGTTGCTATAGCTGCGTGTGTATTATCTCTCGCCTGCTTTAGCTGTAAGTAATATGAAAATCAGCGTATGTGCTGGTGTGCGGGTGTAGCTAGGTGTGTGTATGTATGTGTGTGACTGGCGAAAATAGGTCAGCTGTATGTTGCTGCTGCTGCTGCTGCTGTTAAACTGGGCGTGACAGCAAAAGTGGCAAAAGCTAAAGTTCCAGCTCAAGCAAAATAGAAACGCGGTAAAATAAATTTTAAAAAACGCTGAACTTCTGGCCATAAAGTAGCTAGCCGAAAAGTCACTAGTTAATTGGGCGCTGGTGGGCGTGGCAGGCTAACAGTCAGTCAAACAGGCAGCTGCATACCAGGGCGCAACTAGTGGTTAATATTTGATAGCTGCTTTGCATATACACATACAGAGAGAGAGAGAGAGAGAGAGAGAGATAGGACGAGCGGGTGAGAGAGAGAAAGGCAGCTGCAATAGCAGCGACCTAGTTTCTGACAATGCATTTTTGCAGCTGCAACAGACTCTGCCTCTATACATACACATATATATGTGTGTGTGTGTGTGTGTGCGCGCTTGTGGCATCAACAAGTATATAGCAAAATACGCAGCAGCACGTCCCATTATTCTTCAGCTTTATCAGCTGCAGCTGCATCTGCATATACAAGGCGCTGTCAAAAAAGAAATAAGCAATGATATGAATAAATAACCAGAAAAAAATGAAAAGTGAGAAGCAACAGCTAAGCTGCAACTTTAGGGGATTGCTGTGCTCAAAAGTTTCTCTGCCTTCGTTGCTTTTATGCTGCTTGTTGCGCTTAACAAATCAATTTGAACGTCATAAAATACCAATAAGCTACGGAATACTCTGAGAGCTGCTCAAGTGCAAAAAGTGCAGAGGCAACAAAAATGCATCTAGATAGATACGAATGATAAATGTATGAATATGGCTAAAAGTTTTTGGCATTAAACTTTTTATTTATTTGAACTAGATTATAATTATACATAATTATACATAAAACAATTCAAGAGATTAAAACATAAATAAATTTATACTTAACTTAACTTTTTGTAGTGACTAATTTTTTTTGTTTATATATTGAATATCTTTATTCACAATTTAATTTAATATAATTTGTTTGTGATTTATTTAATAAAATTTTATAATAATATTTAATTTGGCTTTTATTATTTATTATATACGCTTTTATTTATTATTATATAGCAAATATATGGTTTTTTTTTTTTTTTTTTTTTTTTTTTTTGTGTTATGTCTAAATTAAATGTAGGTCAAATTATATACCAACTAAAAAATGCCAATAAAAAATATTATCGATTAAATATAACTTGAGAGTATGCATAATATTAATCGGCTGCCAATAAGCTTATTATTCTATTTTCAGAGGAAATTCCATATTTAAATGTAAAACGTGCCAACCTTTAGCCTTTTCTCAAGTCTCGATTCAATTAAAATGCAGTAGCTGCCACGTTTTTAGTGCTTTGGCCAAAAATAAATGTTGCAAACAGCAAATAATAAATAAATAAGAAAGTAGGTATGCAACAAAAATAAAAAAAATAAAAAAAGAGAGAAATATGTATATATACATATAAGAAGAGAACAGTTAAAATAAGTAGAAGCAGCAGCAGCAGCAACAGCAGCAGGAATAGTAAAGCAAATGGCAAACGAGGCAAACGAGTCCATGTCCTTGGGCAACGTCCCACGCAAAAATGTTGGCACAGCCAGCAAAGGTTACCAATATAAATACACACGCACAAAAGCAATCAAAGAGAATGGTTGAGGCACATACACACACACATACGCCCGCTCGCACAGTGGGGCACAGACGCACTCAATGTGCGCCGACAAAAAGAAGAGAAAAAAAACAACATAAAAATTAAAGAAGCTTTAAGTATCCTTGTTGCTGCTGCAAGGACCAACGCCAACGCCAAAGGAAACAGGGGCTGGCGGGTGATGAGATCCAAGGGGGGCAACGGTTAGGTTAGGGTAGCTGCCCAACTGGCTGCTGCTTCTGTCAGAAATTGCTTGTTGGTTGTCTTTTTGTGTGTTTTCAGTTCCGTTTTTTTTTTTTTTTTTTTTTGCTCAAGATTTTGCCTGCCAAGGTTTACGCGCTCTCACGCACTCTCACGCATTCTCTCTCATCTCACGCACTGTGCTCTCGCCGCACTCACTGTCTAGTGCGCAACTTAAAGCTTCAGCAACTGTGTGTGTGTGTGTGTGTGCGTAAGCGTATCTGTGTGTGTGGGTTAGTCCTAAAAATATATAAATGTGCAGCGATTATGGCTAAAAGATCTTTGTGCTGCTGTCACAGCTACAGATACACAGGCTACAGATACGGCTACAACTGCAGATTCAGATACACACGCACACATACATACATATATATGTTAATGCATATGGCATGCATGTATGTATAACCGAAGCTGATAAAAAATTGCTATGGATATTAAAGCGATGGCTACAAAAGCAAAAAAAACCCTCGGCTACATTAGCGAGAGTGACAGCAGGCCTCTGTAGTGTGTGTGTGTGTGTGTGTGTCTGTGTGCGTATTTTTAGCCATTTTAAAATTTTGTTCTTTTCCTTTTTATGAATTTTTTATTTATATACATACGCGTAATCGACAGATGAGTGCATATATGACTGCTCAGGGAACCAATTCGCTCGGCCCGTTTCGGGCGATAAATGCACACTGTTTGCGGTTATATTTGTTCATTTGATATGATGTAGCATATTATTACATATATGTCTTCCTTAAAGGTTGACAAATTTCGCAATTTAAATATTGAAAGTAAAAAAAATAAAATACTTGGGTAATGTTTAAAATTAGCTGCGAATAGACTAAAGAAGAAAATCCAATTTAAAATTCGCCAAAAATTCTTGATTCTGTAGAAATATTGTATAGCAACATTTAAGAATTAGTTAGCAAATAAAATTATTATTTTAAATATATAATTTCTTTGTTTATTTTATTTATAATTTTTTTTTTTTTTTTTTTTTTTGATAATTTAATTATTATATATTGATAACATATTTTATATGTATATTATAATAAATATTATTTCATATAGTTGTAGAATTCTAAGTAGCCATATTTTAATATTTTATTCTATTTTAATTTCATATTTTATTTATATTTAGATTTTTTACTTGTAATAATTAATATAAAATTTTTAATATTTTAGGTTTTTCTTTTAAATATTTGTTTAAGCTTATTAAAACATTTACTTATTCATCAAAACACTGATAAAGATTTCTGTTTTATCGAAATATACATAAGCGGATGTTTCTGAATTCATTTCAATAATTCCATATGCATTATAATACTATAAATTATATAATTTATAACATTCTCGATAGCATTCTTTTGATTTCTAAATACCTATCAACATATTGCACAACCCCGCGGAATATCCTTTTAGAACAAAGCCTTCATCTAGCGCCCAGCTAGCACAACATTTATCTTTGGCTATATATGACAATTTATTTCCCGCTGTCAGCTGGTTGAGCTGCTGATAAAACTCTTATTTTATTTTAATTACTCTTGGTAAAAAAAAAAAAAAAAGAAGAAAGAAAATAATTGTTATTGTCTTTATATGTCCGCTGATAAATCTCTTGAATTTATGTCGCTTATCAACTTGTCCTTGGGTAAACAGAGTGAAACTCAAGCAGATAGACAGTGGGATGGAAGAGATAAAGAGAGAGAGTGAGTGAATGAAAAAAAGTCAAAGAACAACAGTCAAAGTTCAGGAAAATCATGAATTAGTTTTATGTTATGATAAGCAGGTATTCAATTGTATTTTTCGGGAAATGTGAGATTTATTAAATATAAATTATAAATATTAATTTATTTCCATTATAGTTTTAATTGTCACTTGAAATGGAATAGCTTTTATGACTTAAAAAATTATGGTAATAATGAAAGTAAACCTGTGATGATGATACTATCAATCGAAGTTTCCGTATATATTTCAACTAATTTTGCATTCATAAAATTAATATGTTAAATACAAATTTTAAATCTCAATCAATTAAAAATACAGTCAATTATATTTCTGTAATAATTTGATTTAAAAATAATACAAAGAAAAAATATTTTCAAAAAAAATAATAATAATATATAAATCGAATGATATTCTATAGGATCTATTTTGGTTAAATTTGTTTATACATAGTGCTAAGAATTTTTTATTTGAATGACTAAAGATTGGAGTCAGTGAAGTTAAATCGAAACTAGCTGACAATTCGACCAATGCAGTATGCTTTCAGCTATAAAATGGTTAAAAATAGCTAAATATGGATCATAAAACTACCTGCTGAGCATAAGAACGATCCCTAGTTGAGTAGAGAACACCGCAGGGAGGAATTGTGTATGAGACCAACGTAGGCAGAGTTTGTTTACATATGGTCTCTCTCGGGCTCTCAGTCCCACGCTCAGTCGTGCGCTTGCTTTGACCCTCAATTTCATTGCCTGCCTTTCCATTCCCTATCTGCATCCCTCTATGCCCTAACGAGTGTCTTTTCCTCTGTGAGCGTCGAGGCAATCAGCATCATATTGACTCTGATCTTTTCATTCATTGTTTTTCTTTCTTTTTCTTGTCTCTTGTCTCCCTTCACATTTATCATAATTGCTGCTAATCTTTTTCTTAAAAGAAAAGTCAAACCAATGTTAAGCAGTAAATGCAAGCGAATTGGCTAAGAAATCATATAAAATTCATCACTCTACCTACGCCCTCAGGGCCTACCTGACCTGGTAAAAATTTCCTATATCTCCTTTCCTCTCTTTAGCCTTAAATTCTGTAATTGTTACCTTAATTCGAAGAATATATATTAATTTATTTCCTATTAGAAATCTACAAATGTAACGATTTCATATAATATATAAAAAAGAAAAAACTTGAATAAATCCGAAATACAAATTTGCCTTAAAAACAATCTAAAACATTTATTTACGACATAAACTTATTTGCTAACTATTTAAAAGTTCAATAAGCACAGCCAATACATTTCAGCTGCTGCATCTGTTTTGTTTTCCGCTCCTCCAGCTCCGCTTCCTGCCTCTATGGCACCCACTCATCCACATCGTATGACTTCTGTGTATATTCACACTGCAGCACTGGCTCCTTGGGCAGCGAATCGTTTGGCTCTTGCTTGCGTCGGCGACGCATTCCGGTCACCAGTCCCACAATCACAATTACCAACAATGCGCCCGATGCCACGCCCACAATGGGTATTGTCAGAGTATTCAATTCATTCTCATCATCGGCTGCCTGATCGATGCTCAACAGTTGCTCCAGCAGGCCACGACGACACGAGAGCTTAGCATTCGCATCCTCGCTCTCCTCCTCCACATAGCCCGCATTGCAGCTACACTTGCCCAGAGCGTCGCAGCTCTGATGCGGACCACAGCCCGTTTGAGCACAATGCTGCTCCTTCGCTCGGCCATCGCTGCTCTCAAAGAACTCGGCCCGACACTCGCCCGCATAGAGTATGAAGCCCACTTCGCAGTCGGCGGCTGTGAATGCCGTTGGGGTGGACGATGATTTGCTTAGGTACTCCTCCGGTTCGGTGACATCATCGCTGGTCAACTTCATCATCGTGTCGTCGTTGCGCAGCTGGCAGCTGTTGCTCTCGGCATTCCAGAAATAGCCACGATTACACGCACAGACTTCCACATCGACGCACTGGCCATTGGCACAGCCGTCGCCTACCTGGCAGACCGGTGCACAGGGCGCACTGACTCCATCTCCGGTGGGCGGCAGAGGCTGATGGCCCGGCTTACACTCGCATGTATTGGGCGCCACACAATGTGTGCCCGCTGGACAGCTCCGCTCGCAGATGGGTTCACAATAGTGGCTACCGTCACGATGTGCAACGGCCGATATATAGCCGGTGGTGCATTGACAGCGCTGTGGAGCCACACAGCTAGCATGAGCCGGACAGCCACGCTCACACACTGGCTCACAGAGTCCCGACTCGCCCACTTGCGAATAGCCCGGGCAGCATTCGGAAATGACTTTGTAGCTAATCTGCTCCTCGTGCGTATTGTAAAATTCGGTAATCTTCTCCGCCTTCTTCCACAACTTCCACTTGGAAGGCTGCTTGATCACGGTCCGTTGCTTCGTTACAGGCACCAAAGTCCTCGTTGTCACATTCCGTTCACAATAGTTTTCCCTTGCGGCCAGGCTGGTGCCTAGCATGCACAGCCACAGGCAGAGAACAGCACAAATGTTTTTCATTCTATCAACTGATCGTGTCGAGTCTCAATTCAGCACTGGCTTACACGGGGCCGAGCGATGCTTAGCTGGAGAGCTCGAGAATCCGAAAATCCAGTATAATAATAACAAACACATCCGTCGCTAGATAACTTTCGACCCTTGCTCTATTCCTGTCTCTGTTTATCACACACTTACATACTATCATGCACTCCCTCTCTCTCTCTCTATATATATATATATATCTCTGTCTCTCTCTTATAGCGGTCGCGGCGTCCTCTGATAAGTCAGAGCGGAGGGTTGCAATGCATCGATAGAGCGACAAGTCAAGTCAGGACAGAGCAGGCAGATGAAGAATGCATATCGTAAATTACACTAGACAACAATATTCAGGGCATTTCTCATGTCTTTTTGAGTCCAAATAATGAGATGGACGCTTAGGACCGACTTTATAAAATCTCCTGTATCATATATGTATTAAATTATTAAATTATTATTAAAAATTTTTTTAAACATTTATTTTGTTATATTAATACTTTGTTATTATTATTATTTTTTTTTTTTTTTTATTTATTTTCCTTTTTTATAATTTTTTTTTTTTTTTTTTCATTTATAGCCTGAATTGAAACTCATACTTTTTCAATTATTATTTTCTGAATATCACTAAATTTATTATAAATTATAACCTACACACATGTAGAGTTTTGTAAACCCTGCTGTCTAGTGTAATTTTGGATGCTGGCAAAGTGCACTCAGCTGTTGCTGCTTCTGTTGCTGCGCCGCAGCAGACAGTGAAATGCTGGTGGCCATTGTCAGTTGATTCGATGAGTCTGACTCTATCATAATACCCGCTTAATGACTCGCTTAAGTCGCCCGCATAAAAAGATGCCGATAAGCTGGAAAATAGCTGCAATTGCCACTTGGTACATATCACAGATATATTTGTTTATGAATCACAATGAGGCGTCCGAGCGGAACTAAATGAGTCGCCTTGCAGATTTGCCATTGCATAGACTTATATGCATATATAGAAGGTTTTCGGTTATGATATGATTTTTCCTACTCTTATCGAAAGGAAATAAAATAATGTGACTTGACTCATAGATTTCGAAGGATTTTTTTAGTCATTAGAAACTGGTTTCACCTCGAACTCTTACATAAAAATGCACTTTAGTCATACGGTTTGGCTACCTGCTACAGCAAATAAGTATACTCTATAAACAGGTCAAAACAGCCAAAGCAGGTAGTTACCTTGGAATCTGTTGTTCAATAATGTGAGAAAATCATGAGATAAATGTTAATAATAACATTAATTTGCTGGAATTAAAAATATGATTTACCAGCAATCTTATTTTGGGGTGGAATTTCAAGAAAATAACATTTTACATAACGAAATGCTCTAGCTTAAGTGAACTTTTATATATTTAGCTTGACAGTTAGTTGCGGTCAAGCCAAAAATACAATAGTTTTGACGTCACATATGTCAGATTTTCTGTGTGTGGGCTTTTTTTTTTAGCCTTAGGGTTTCTTTTCTTTGCAGCCCACATACTGAGCTACATATACACAGAGCAGAGCAACAACAACAGCAGCATAACTGTCAATGCAAAAGCTGGCGTCACGGGGCACGTATCCTGCTTTCTGTCTTCCAATCCAGCATGTCGCTCCGGCGAGCCAAACAAAATGAACATATGAACGCTTGAATGACAGTTGACATAGAGAAACAAAAGTGTGAGTGTGTGTGTGCGTGCATGGGTGTGTATGTGTGTGCGTGAATGTGTGTGTCTGTTGTGTGTGCTTGTGACACAGTCACATTCTAATCTAAAATAATTGAATTGAAGTCAGATTGCAACTGATGCCTTGCGCTGCTGTAGCAAGCAGAAAGAGACTCAGATATGTGTATGTACACTGAGAGAAATGCATAGTGGAAAAATATGTATTTTCAAAAGAGACAAACAAAATCAATATCTAGCGTAATTACAAAATCAATCTTGTTTTTTTTAATATAAATATATATAAATAAAATAAATATATATAAATATTTCTCCAACTTTTTCCAGCTAGGTTTTTCAATATTTTTTAGTGTATTTATATACACTATATATAAATGAATATATATAAAATTGTATATATAATCTTTATATATTAGATAATTGACCAAAAATTGCTTTTATATATATTCATATATTCACATAGAAAAAAATACTAGCATAAGATAAATAAATAACTCTATGTCACAATAAAACATTTTTTTTTTTTTAAGAATTCATTCAATCTAGAAAATTGCTTTTAACTATGAATATGACTTTCTAAGTGGCACTCAGAGAAAGCCTATATGAGATAATTAAAAAGTCTAATTTCTTTTCCCGCTGATTTTAATTTCTTTTTTTTTTTTTTAATTATAAATAAACTTTTACTGTATTTTCTATATTTCATATATTTATAGTCAATAAATGTTAATAATATTAACACGTTCATTTGATATGCCAAATCTTTTCGCTGATTATTTAGCTAGAGATACATTTTCAGTAACAGATACAGATACAGAGACATTCGCAGTCACAGTTACAACTGTAGCTACACATGTTGAGTGCGCGTAAAAAAAACCTGTACACGTTAGATACGTGTTCAGGCGCAAGCTTTGCTTGGCTTTGTTTTGCTTTGATGCCACAGCTTTGCATTTGGAGGTATAACTGTTGCTGTAGCTGTAACTTCATTTTGCTCGTCTATGCACACATATGCGCGCCGTGTTAATTAATGTTCAGCGCAGTCGCTAACTGAATTTGGGTTTAGCCACTGACAAAGCATACAGCCCGCCCACTGGGCCAGGACGAGATTTCGCCAACTGCAATTCGGGTAAAAACTTTGGGCCTAGTCGAAGTTGGTGCGCTTGAGTTATTGCCTTGGCTTTGGTTGCGATTCACGACCCGCTAATTGCCAGCCATAAATTTGCATTATCTCACGTAGAACGAAAGGTACATCCTTTACGCACACGCACAAGCAAACACACACAGATACACTAACACGGAATGCTTGTGCCGCTGCTTAACTGTTAAATTATCCAAGTTGCGAACGGCGAAAACTTTTAGCAACCCCATGTGACATCTGCTGCTCAATGCACAGACACGTAATGTTCTAGCGATAGGGATAGCGCCTGGGCCTGGGCAACGAGCATACATAGGAGGCGAGGGTGGGCTCTGTATGTGAACAGACAGTTTAACTAGCAAGGTGTTGAGCCATCTCACGGTCTTCGCCAACTTGCTACAGAGTGACAGAGACAGAGCCGGAGAGATAGGGAGAGAGTGAGAGGGTGGCATTGTGTCCCAAATGATTGGGCAATCGTTTTAATTATGAATTTGCGCTCAATTCTCGCTTGAGTAGTAAAAAGTCAAAGATAAGTATATGTTATTAATAAATAATATCATTGCGTGATTAACTTGTACCACAACATGCCTAAAAATTGAATGGAACAAAAATACTGTAAAAGAAATACTTTCCATTAAAATATCAGCGCAAAAGTATGCTATAATAAAAATGTTATTGAGAAAAAATATATATGAAGCGACTTTTTTGAGTGACTAAGTAAGAAATACAAAATAAATACATATATATTTGTTTAAAAAATATATTATTTCAGTCCCTTAAATATTGTTTAAAATACATGTAAAAAACAACATAAAAATCACACAACAAATTACAAACAAATAATCATTCATTAAATTTAAATTTAATTAAAAAATAAAAAAGAAACTATAGTGAGTAATGGCTCATTATTGCCTTGTTTATTCTCTTTCAATTAAACCTTACGATTAATTTGTTAAAATTTGTGTAACATTTTTGTTTAAAGACAAATCAAAATTTCTCATTAAAAATTATAGCTCTAAAAAGATTTAATTAAACGCAGCTCTGATCTCGATTCTGACTGTTTACAGGCATTTCCCGGCCAGCTGCTCATAAGCTAGGCCATAATACACACATAATTTCTTAACCCCTTTTTGCTCGATAGATAAAAAGCCTTCTGAAAAATGTGCAACGAACGCTTTGAGATACGAGCCAAACTGTGACCTTTTCGTTTTTATTTTAGTTGCTGGGGGCACAACCTTTGCGTTGGCCTAGTTTCAAATTAAGTGGCACAAACAATAATAAAACCAAATTTTTTAACCTTTTTTTTTTTATTTGCCTCATTCCCGCCCACATTTATTTGCGTGTTAGCGAAGGTTATGAAAACGCAGCCAAGCTAGAAAAATGTGCGCATTGTTTCAACGGCAGCAACAACAAGGACAATAAGGATGCTGGCACACGTGAGAAACTGCATAAATGGCAGTCAGGCAGCCAGGCAGGAAAACTTGTGTCGCCGTCTGTGATTAAAAGGCAGCTACAACATTTGATTTGAAGCACTTGTTTTAGATACTCTATGAATGCTTAAAGTGAAAGAGACAGCATGCTGGAGAAGAAGATGGACAGTAAATCAACATACCTGTTATATAAAACTATATTTAGAACTATATTCATCAAAGTTGGGAAATGCCTACCCCATTTTTTCTATTACTAAGAAATTTCCTTTTCTTTTCAAACACGATTTTATTTATTATGCAAACTATTTTATGATATGATATATTCTTCATTTTTTCTTTTACTTTATATATATTATAATTATATATTAGAAACTACATATATAACAAATAAATTAATTTATATTTTAAAAGTATATCAAATTTGTAATCTTCAACATATAGCCATCATAAATTATTATTAATAATGTAATAATAACAATATAAAATATTAATAATATTAAATATTTATCATATAAAAATATTGCATACATCGATTATTATTATATATGAACTATCTAACTCCTTTCTCCATCCTTCATTCCTTTTTAATAAGAGTATTTAATCTCTGTCTGATTGTTCAACTAACTGTGCTTTCTAAATTTTTTAACTAGCTTTCATCAACTGATTTACCCAGTATGTATGTGTGCGTGTGTGTGTGTTGGCGTGTGTCTGTGTTACGCGCAGCCATTTTCATTTGCTGCTAAAGTTTAAGGTCCTTCATACATAAATAAGCACTAAGCAGGCGGCGTCGCCTCAAAGTGCGAGGCAAACAGCAGCAGCAGCAGCAACAACAACAACAACAACAACAACAACAACAACAACAACAGCTAAACGGACATGACACCCACTACAACGGCGCTCTTCAAAAGCGACCAACAACAGCAACAACAACAGCAACAAGAACGACGAGGCGACAACACTCATCAAGAACGGCCAAACACGAGCGATAAAAACAAGCGCAACAAGGACTTGAGTCTCGAGTTCTGTTCTCTGACTCTCACTCTCTCTCCCTCCCTCCCTCTCTCGCGCTCGCTCTCACTCTTAGCTTCACATACACTGTCTCGCTCTGTCGCACTTGGCCAACATGACACATCAGGACAACAGCTAGGACGAAGGACGACGAGCACAAGTCGCGCCTATTCGCGTTCGCCTGCGTGTGTGTCCTTTTTGCCAGTGTGCCACTGTGGCAGTCAGTCATGGGCTCTGGCACATAATTAAGGACGTCGCCCAACAGCAACAACAACAAGAGCAGTCAACAAATGAAAGTTAACCGAAAAAAATGGAAATATGTATGCAAATGTCGCACATATAAATACCCTAACCGTTTAGCATAAGTGTGCGAAATAATAGAAATTTAATATAAAGGGTATTTAATGGGCTTAGTTTCTGTTATGGAATGTCTTGTCAGTTGAAATGATGTTGACTTTGTTATTCATCTACACAATTAATTAAATAGTATTAAAAGAACTCCGATTACTAGTGGGGCTTTAACAACGATCGCTAAATACAATAATACCATAATTTTTGAAAAATATAGAATATATATATATGTATATGTATATTAGAATATATTGGTATACATATTAAATTATATTGATTGACATACCAGATATCATAGATCAATATAATATGATGTCTATAAAAAAAATAAAAATTCTAGGCCTATGTCCAGAGTCTAGAAACTTTTTACAATAGCTGTAATCAATCAATTATAACTTCATTTAAATATGTATCATAGCTTTAGACTAAACTAAATTTACATATTTCATTAATTTAAAAAAAAATTTTTTTTTCTAGACTAAACTAGATTTGCTTTCTTATTTTTTAATTTTTAGTCTTAATTTTTTTTTTTAGATTTTTTTTATATTTTTATGAGTATTATTTAATTTTAAAATTCTCATCATGTTTTGTTTTATTTTTATTATGATACATATTTATTATTATTATTATTTTTTGTTTTATATATTTGTATTTGCCTTTTTATTTATTTTAAAAATATAAATAAATAAAAATCAATGTAAAAATTTGTTGTATAATTAAAATATTTGTTTATATTTGCGTTATTGAACTATTTTTATATTATATATAATTTAAAAAATTTTAAATTCAATAAAATATTCCTAAGGGTCAATTCAACCTTATATCATAAAGTGTAATGCAATGCACACACATAGACACATACACACACACACACGCACACATACATTTACACACGCGTGAATATTGCACTTTTGTTTTGTGGGTTTCCTTCGCAGCAGCATGCTGCTGGCGCTGTGTTTGCATTTGGACTTTGCAGATGTAACTCAATGCGTGTGTGTGTGTGTGCTTGTATGCGACGGTATGTGTATGTGGCTGTGTGTGCTGCATGAATGAATGATGAAAGACCAAGCAAAAAGACGTTGGCTGGCAAATGAGAGTAGTAGGCGTGAGCACGAGCGAGGGAGCAAGCGGACAGGCTCTAGAAGACAAAGCCTCAAATGGGCATAATGAGCATAAGAAGGCGTCAAAGCCAAAAGTGCTCTCAGGCGCAGCTGGCCAGGACAATGCTGAAGGAATTGTGTCATATTATTAATGAAAAACCAAGAAAAAAATGCCAAACACACTGAGAGAGAGAGAGAGAGAAACCGAGAGACAGGGAGAGAGGGAAAGGGAATGTAGATTCAGATTCAGATTTTTAGACAGAGGCAAATGAGCAGCGGCTGCAAAAACAAAAACGAGAAACAAAAAAAAGAAGAAAAAAATAGAAAAACAGGAAGCTGAGGCACTTTTAATATGCAACAGTCTGGAGCTGTGTGTGCATGTGTGTGAGTGTGTGTCTGTATGTCTCTGTATGTGCTTTGCGAAATGAAAATGAAAATGAAAATCAAGCCCAGGCTACGGCACAAAAGCAAATAAACGCGCTGAGCGAGCGTCAAGTTATTTATTTGGCAATTGTTCTGCTGCTTTTTATTGTCGTCAGAGTTGCGGTGGCTGCGCTGTTTGCTTATGGGCATTGCCCCACCGAAACCACAGTCATCCACATGCCAGCTATACGTATGTGTGTTTGTGTGTGTGTGTGTTTGTGTGTGTGTGTGTGTGTGTGTGTATGTTTCACCACTGCGTGGTCGTCAAAGGTCAATGGAACAATTTTCAAATGCTGCGTACAACCGAAAAAAACCAAACACCAAAGTCGAGCTGCGGCTACTTGGGGACACGTTGCACCTGGGGGCAAGATATTGTGGTACACGGGGCAAGGGGCAGCGAGGACACGGCAGAAGTCTGGTACATTTGGGAAAATTATATTATTATATGTGCCTGTAGTTACGATCTTGTGTACCAACACTAAGTTGCTTATGAAAACAAAATGCGAACGAAATCATACCGAAATTTAATTTTTTTTTAATTTGCAGACAATGAATATAAATATACACAAAATATATAATTTTGTAAAGTATAGAAAATAAAAAAGAGAATATTAAAAATATGTGAAACATTGTTTTAATAAACACAAAACATAAGTTCAAACAAAATTCTGAGCTAATGGAATGCCCTTTTTAAGTATTTTGTATATTTATTTGAACTTATGAATGAATGAAGGATATTGTCTTCTTTTATTATTATATAAATCTTCTTTTTATTTTAAAAATTGTTTAAAGTTTTTTAATGCCTTATGAATTTTTATTTATAATTTTAATGTGTTTTTTTTTTTAATATATTGCATGTATATTTTTTATCTTTTTAAATGTAATAATTTTTTTTAAATTTACTTTTCTTTCGTTTTTAATTTTATTTATTTATTTTCTGCTTGAATGAAAGGGCACAAAATTATTTTTTTTACGTTATGATATTTGGACTTTAAAAATAAATTGTTTTTATACATATTCCTTAATATATAATATTCCCTAAAATCCTCAATCGACGCCTTAAAAATTAATCGATAAACGATAAATGAAACGCGATGCTTTTTCGCAATATATTGTTCAGAAATATCCATCTCTTAAATCTGCATAAATGAAATAGTTCAATTCAACTCACCTTAACTTTCCGTATTAATTAAGTCAAAAGTTGTCGCTTTCCAATTAGTTGGTTGTTGTCGTGTATATGTTATAAAGATTTAGTTGAACTAGCTGAATACTATAAATATTCCATTTGTTGTTTGTTTATATAATTATTATTATTATATTAAATATTTTATCAAATTTTGCGCAGTGTCATATACATATAATCGTATCATATATCTTTAATTAGATGTAATTATGATGAACATTAATATTGATGTATTCATGGGTGAGTTAATGAGTTTTAATTGTAATTTTAATTGTTCAATTGCGATTATTATAGCTATTATTATTATAAATTTTTGAATTATTTTTAGTTAGTTGCGATTATCGAATATGCATATGTTACGTCACGAATGTCAATGATTGAAAACTTGCTGAACTTTAATTTTCTTTTTTTTTTTTTTTTTTGTATTATTTTATATATTTGAATTATGAATAAGTTTGTATTGGATATTGTTTGTCATATAAACTAATTTCAATATGTCAAACTGTCGGCAATTTTATGGATATATATACATATATACACATAAATATACCAATATATGTATATACCATATATATAAAAACGTTCCCGTCCAATCTTGTGCGTGTTTCAGTTGCTTATTGAGTTTTTTGCTTGAGATTCGCGTTTGTTTAAGTTTATTATAATTTTTATATATCTATATATAATTGTATTACTTTTCTATATAATAGAAAATTTGTATTCAAATTGATTTTGGTTATTACAATTAATATTAAAAACCATTCAGCGAAAAAGTGGCCATCGTCCTCATCTGCCTCTTGTATTTTCTGGTACCTTCTTGTATATGTATATGGTAATGTATATATTTCTTTTGCAGCTTTCTTTCAATACTTACAATATATTTCAAAATTTTCATTTTCTTTTTGTTGCTTTCAACATGTTTAAGTTTGTGCTTTCAATTCGTTTTCAATTTTATTTTTGCCTATAAATTTGTTGAGTTATTAAGACTTTTTTTAATTGCTTCATTAAGAGTTTGAGTTTTGTGTTAGTTTATTTATTTTTATTTTTCACACACTTTTCTCTTGAAATTTTCTTGCACAAACACATAAAATTTTTGGTATATATATTTATTTTTATTTTTTTCTGTGCCCCTCACTCAATCATTAAAATATTGCTTAGTATATTAAAAGAGTATTTTATTTCAATTTATTTTTTATTTTTTTATATAATTTTATTGAAATTTTGTTGTCTAATTAGTTCTGACATCCATTGTTTGCAGTTATTTTGAAGACTGGAATAGAAATAGTAATATATTAGATATTTATTAGACGAGGAAGAAAATGTTGTTCATATATTTCAGATATATATATTTGATCTTTCTAGAATTTAGAAAGATTTTGTAAAATATCTAAAAATTAAAATTTTTATAATTATTTGGTAAGAATGCCTAAAAATAATAACACAATTTTTAGCCCTATCAATATTACCCTATCAATATTTCCCATCAATATTTTCAATATATCAATTTTGAACTGTGATAGAATCCTATCAACGTTTCATTCAAATATTTCTATTTGAAATCCGACTTTACTCGAACGTTCTTCACCCAGTTAAGATCTCAGCATATGTTTATGCTGTCAGAGAATTCCAATTTATTTAGCTGTAAGGCTGTCAATTGACGACTTGCACTATCCTATCATATATTCACACTATCCATAAGCAATATAAGCAAGTTGTTCACTTGTTGACAATGTCAGAAACAATTTCTTATGATTTTATTTTATGGCCACTTTTCCCCTCCCAAAAAAATGTGCAAGTAGAGGGAAAAGCACATTGTGGGCATAAAAGGTTGCCAATTCAATATGTATATACATATATATATATATATATATATGTTTGGCACCTGTTATACACACACACATACAGAAAACAATACTGAGACTGTGAGAGAGGAAAGGCTACCCACACAGTTAGCCTTCCACTTGACATGTATCTGAAAGATACGATTTCTTCTTTTTCCACATTTTTTTTTTTTTGTATTTTGGCTGCTGCAATTTGAAACATTTATTTGATGGTCAATTAGAAATTTGCCTGCCATTTGCAATTCGTTTTTCGCATTTCGTTTTTCCGCAGCAATAAAAATGCTGAAGAAGAAGCGGCAGCAGATGAACTGGGGCCAAAGCAACCAGTAAATAAAATACATAGATGATGAGATAGAGCTGGGCAGGAAGAGGCAACTGGGGCTGGAGCACGAGATGGCTGGTGTTTAAGAAGAAGAAATGTGTGTACAACAATGTTGCCCGCCTCGATGATGATGATGATGATGATGATGATGATGGTAGAATTTTCACAAATACACGCACACGCACGCACACAATGCAGAGAGCGAGCCTCGTGTCGTTATTTTTTGCTGTTTCTTACTTTTTTTTTTTTTTTTTTTTTTTTGCAAAAAAAAAGCACAAGAAATAAGAATATCAATTTCCTCCTGTTGGAAAGCGCAAGGCAAAAATGTTCAATTCCACGCACACGCATACGCACGCACACATATACATATACATAAATATATAAATATACATATATGTATTCCAAATAAATTCTATAACTGACTAGTGGCCCGATTTACCTGTTAGTAGTGCAGAATGTATTTTAATTCAATATTATTATTATATTTTTTTTTTTTAGCTGCTGTTGCTGCTCGAGCATCCTGCTGGGCGCTTAAATGTTGCCATGTACGCGTGTGCTTATGTATTAGTGTATGTATATATATAATTATATACATATAAAGATGTATGGTCACACTGTTTCGAGCTATCACGAGCACACGCACACGCACACAGACTCACTCACACACACACATACGCACGCTCGCACACATACACTGACAAATCGCGCGCGCAGTGTTAAGCGACGACAGACAACAAAACTGACACACACACACGCACACACACATACAAATAAGCAAGCACACACACGCACGCAAAGTCACAGTCACAAAAACGCAGACACAGGCACGACCGCGACGCGACTTCGCTTGGCTCTGCTGCTTTGGCTGTGCAGGGAAAAGGCAACTAACAGCACAACCCGAAACCGGAACACCAACTGAATACGCTGCCAGCCAGCAATTGCCAGCCAGGCGACGCTGGAAGTGAACACTGCAGCAGCAGCAGCAGGCGAATCGGAGTACTTCGTTAAGCTCGCTCGCACACGAAGGCACATCTCTTGCAGCAGACGGATTGGATGCCCCCAAACAGCATGGGGATGCTAAAAACGTGACTGGAACTCGCGCGTCCCGACACATCGTGATGCTCGTGCCTGGAAGCCAGCCAGCGCGAGCGTCAGCCTGGAAGAGCGACTCTGTAAAGAGAACGCATCATCTTAATGTTACTCGTTAACTACGTCGCATGTTATCTTAGGCAGCAACCTCAAGAACGAATGTGCGGGAAGCTGAGCATCTAAGAGAGAACGGTAGCAGTAGCAGCAACAGCAGCAGCACCATTGAGCTTTGCTTGAGGTAGCTACGCAGCGGAATGTGTGTGCGTATTTGTGACTGTGCGTGCATATACAGGGTGTGAATGCTGGAAGCTTTGCTTGGCGGCTCACTCAATTGAATGAGTTGGATGTTGAGTCTAATTGGATTTTAAAATTAACATTTTGAGGACTGTGCTAACTTTTTCTGAGTTGCAAAATGAATTAGTAAATTTGTTAATTGTCTAATCTTTATTCATATTTTTGTCAAAGCTAAAAAGATGATGAAATTAGAGATAATCAGATAAGAGATAACAGTTGAACTTTACTTTCTTTATAAAAACAATTTTATTTATAAATGAAAGCCTATTTTGTGGCAAAAGTAAATAAATAATAAAAAAATAATAAATAAAACAGATATATAATTTATTATATAACTTATTTATATTAATTTATTTTAACATAATTTTTCTCTTTATTCTCTTTAATTTAAAATATTCTTCTAAGCTCTACCGCGCAATTATTAATTAATAGTCTGTCAAATTAAAAATTTAGCTACCAAAATGTTGCCATAGCGGTGTCAGTTAAAATATTCGAACAGTTACTCTTTGCTTTTTGCTCACTTGACCCAAATCCTTCAATGCAAACGCAACTAATTCAAATTATTTCAAATTTCACGCACGTTCATTCATGCACAAGAGCTCATGCACACACACAAACACGCATACACACTTTCTATCTCTCTTTCTCTCCTCCACACATACGCATATAAGCTCACACGCACACGCTCTCGCTGTGTAGGTCCAGAGCCGAAAATGATTTATGACCTCTCAAAAAAATTAATTTAAAGTAAATTCGCATGAATGAAAAATGGCTTTTACAAACGGGAAAACTACAGGGCGCCCACACAAAGAGCTCCAAGTCGACAGGCAAACTTAAGAGAATTGTTAACTTTAGCTTCTGCGGCTGTTGCAATTGCTGCTCTCTTAAACAGGCCACTTGTAGGCGCTGCACTCGCTCTTAACACCAGCTTAAAGCTCGCCTCTCTCTCTCTCTCTCTGTTTTGTGTGTCTCTCAGCTGCTGTGACTTCCATTGTGCTTATCCCTGTTTGCGCTTCCAGTGCTCCTCAAACTTTTTACACACACACATATAGAGAAAAACGAGCCGAAGGCCATGGGAGGCTGCTCCAGCTGCTGCCTGGTCGTATTCGACTCGCCTCGCCTAGCCTCGGCTCTCTGCTCTCGGCTCGGCTTCGGGTTCGCTGCTGTCGCTGCATGCCGTTGGTATCCATGAATGAAGGCTGATACTGGCAGCTGGCGCGGGTCATTTGCGCCTGGCAAACAGCGCAGCTCACATCGCACGGACCCTGCCTGCCTCTGCATCGGTTTTTTGCAAAATTTTCTCATCTGCTGCTTTTGTTTTTGCTAAATTAACATTTTTGATTATCCCGCCTGGCTGGCTAGCTGCTGTCCTTGGTCATGCTCTGTCACTCTCTAACTCTGCTTCCCTCTCTCCCGTTCTGCCACGCTCTGCCAAGCACTCGCACGCATTTTGGCAACTCTTGCGTGTGTGTGTGTACGCGCTTTTTTTCATTGCATAGTTTGCAGCGCTGGTTTTTTATTCTCTGCGCTGATTTGTGTTTGGATTTTTATGAACTTGTTCATAGGGTCACATGGGATGAGTCAATAACTTCATTCAGCTTTTAATGGAGTCAGGGGATGTATCTTTAGGTATATATGTATATATATATAAAGCCATGGAACATATTAGACTATTTTAATACTCATTCACGAAATGGAATTAGTATTTTTATTCCTTATTATAATTTTATTTTTGTAGAAAGTATTAAGCTATTATTCTGTTATATTGTTATACACTGTTATACTGTTATACTGTTATACTGTTGTACTGTTATACTGTTATACTGTTATAATGTTATACTGTGATACTGTTAGACTGTTACTGTTACTGTTACTGTTACTGTTATACTATTATACTGCTATACTGTTATAGCCAATAACAATATTTTTCCAACCAGTCAGTATATTTCTTCTTTGAAGGGAAGTTGTTCAGTTCCCAAGTACCGCAGAAATTGCATGCATTTGGCTTTTATAACGATGTGATTTGCTCGTTATATATGGAAAACACGCCATCGGTCAAAGGCAGCAAGGCAAAGGTCAAAAACACTGTCGACTGCACTGAATGAATTTGTGGTATCCCAACCAAAAAAAAAGGCACAAAAAATACTTTAACCGACTCCCCGTTCTTATTAAAAAAATATATATATAAATTACGTGGAAGAAGGAACGGGAAAGGAAAACAAACAGAGAGAGAAGCATGAAAAATCAAAACAAATAAGCAAACAGGCAAGCAAACAAAATGCCAAGTAAATTAAATAAAATGCACGCAAGGTGACTGCGAAGGAGGAGAAGCGAAGCTGAAGGCGTGGCCGGGACTGTTAATAATATAACAGATGAACGGTTGCAGGCACAAGGTGGATCCAGATACAGATGCGCAGATAAACCTAGATATATACATATGTATGTATATATACACACTATAATGGAAATTAAGCAGTTAAGCAGCTTGCGACTGGGCAATACGATATAAAACAAAGAGATTTAACTCCAGCTTAAAAGTTGCCCAAAAGGAATCTAAAAGCTTGTTAAAAGCATGCAACTATTTTATATGTTTTTATTATTTATTTATATATTATTTATTTTATATATATCTTCGCATTGAAGAGCATAGGTATTAGGAAAGGTGTTGACACAATGAACAATTGAAAATCTTTTTTGTTTACTAATAAAGCACTTCCCGCTTTT